TCTCTCTCTCTCTCACACACACACACACACACACACACACACACACACACACACACACACACACACACACACACACACACACACAGAGTGCTTAAAAAGGAAATTCGAAGAAAAGGATTGAAGGTTAAACATGAAAAAAACAGAGAAAAATAAAGCAATCCATTTGTGAATCATAAGAGGGGCACCAGTCAAGGCAACTTCGTTGCGAGTTCTTTCTTAGAAAACAAAAGACAAAAGTTACAAAACCATAAAGACTCAGGATCCAACACCGTAATAAGAGACTACCTTCATGATTCAACCAAGTTCCAGAAGACTTGAACTCTCAACCCCCAAATCCGTAGTTTGGTGCTCTATCCAACTTGAATTGAGCTACAAGCACATTCATTCGTCCCTTTCGTTCTTGAGTCATTTCAATAGGCTCAGAAATCACATGCTTCGCTGAAACATCCTATCATCGTACTTCCGCATATCCACTTAAGGGAAAGTCTTTTCGTAACGGACGACCCTCAAAACCATAATCTGTTAATATACGACGTAAATCAAGACAGGATGGTTTGAAAAATACACACCAAACATATCCCATACTTCTCATTCCCACCAACCAGCTGCCGGATTGTTTTTTTTTTTTTTTTGCCGGAAATATTTTGACTACTGAACTTCTTTTTTTTTTTTTTTTTTTTTTGCCGGAAATATTTTGACTACTGAACAGATGGGAGTTATTTCATCCACACGTGTATGTATATGTACACGAAGACGTGAGTTATACCGAATACTCTGTAAGTTAATACACCACTTCAAAATTCAAATCTATCTTTTCGAGAAGGATAAGAAAGATCTATCCAGTATTCATATTGTAATTGTAATGAATATATAAAATAGTTAAATATACACAATATGAATGTATCAAATATCAATATGCCAAATATAAATCTTCGCGCACTAAGTCTAGGAATACGTTTACTTCCCAATATGATGGCTGGTCATAGTTTAGTGAAGATTTTGAGTGGTTTTGCTTCGACGTCTCTCTCTCAAGAAGAAGAAGAAGAAGAAGAAGAATTGAATTGGATTGAAACAGCGAGGCCATCGCTTCCTGATCAGCATTGAAGCACCTACACGGACATCGAGCTCAAACGAGCACATTCTCCGACGCGTTTCGCCTGGCTGCGCACCAGGACTCATCAAGGGGCTACCACTCTCCCGCATCCACCAAACATACCGCCCAGAGCAAAGAGGGCCTTTCTGGCCTTGCCCTCTTGAGTTATACTGACGCCGACCACCTCC